AGCTTTTCCTAGGCTACAAATTCACTACAAAGGATCGATCCATACTCTTTATTAAAAAATGTATTTGACAAGATACCCACAAAATATGAAAAAAGCAGAGGCTCAAATTAGTGGTGTCTCACCCTGTGAGATAGAGAGTATCGATTGATCTGTCAAAGTGAATTTGTAGCATCGGAAGATCTCTAACGATTGAGACCATCCCGCGGTAAAACGATAGAACTAGACCCATGATATGGACAAAATACTGAATAGATCAGATCATTCCTGTGTTGTTACTAGGTAAAATGGCTTGCTCTTTCGGACTCGTTCAATATGTATCGAATAGAGAAAAGAATTCTCTATCGATTCATGTAAAAAACATTTTGTTTCACTTTTCCTTTATGACCGAAACTGGTTGAAGACCAGATACACCCAGGGACAACTTTTTAATCAAAAATTCAATCTTGCGACGACTCTAGCTCAGGACAGATACGTTCAAACTACGTCAAAATTTGAGGATATATGTAAAAAAACATGCTCTATCAAATGAGTGTATTGAATTGGAAAACTGAGGGTCATGACCCGTCCCTCAAAAATGCTGTTTTTTTATTAAGAAATTTCATTTGTGTTTTTGAGGTGTTTTCAAGGTAAATATACTTCAGAAGCTAATTGAATCATATATAAATAAGTAGATTGAATATTTCTGTGGATATTAGTGAAGACAAGTTGGGTGCTATTGACTTGTTAATAAGCACCTTTTGGGTGTTAGTAGGTCTCTATAAGGGCTTTTAGATCGGTCTAACATGTTTCCAGAGAGAATTTTGTTACAAAAAGTTATTCGGGGATGACACTTCTTCGGGTCAGAATGTAGGATATGGAGTTCTGTGGGTGTTCGTATGCATACGTAAGGGCGGTTGTGTGGGACATAAGAGAGATTCTGGGTGTTAGTAGGGTGGGGGTCATTTTTTGGTGTTTGTGAAGGGTTTATTTTTCTAGGGCTTATACAAAGTGGGTGTTCGTAGGGGTTAGTGAACATAACCGTCGAGCTGTGGGTGTTAGTAAAGGTGACTTATATGAGATTCCACAAAGTTGGGTGTTTGGGGTGTTAGCATAAATTACGAATACCCCTTTGATGAAATAATGATAACGAATTTGAGCCTCTGCTTTTTTCATATTTTGTGGGTATCTTGTCAAATACATTTTTTAATAAAGAGTATGGATCGATCCTTTGTAGTGAATTTGTAGCCTAGGAAAAGCTCTAACGATTGAGGCTACCCTGAGCTAAAACGAGCAAACTACACCGGAGATATACCAAAATACTGAACACATCCGATCTTGTCTGTGTTTTTACTAGGTAAAATGGGTCTGAAATCAGTGTTTTGGCCCACATTTTCCAGTAATAAAACCAAATAGCCTCATATTTTGGATTTGAGTATAACTTACCCACGCCTTTCATTTAAGATATAGAAATCGAAAGACTTTGTCTACGCGAACATGTCTCTATAAGGGCTTTTAGATCAGTCTAACATGTTTCCACAGAAAACTTTGTTACAAAAAGTTATTCGGGGATGACACTTCTTCGGGTCAGAATGTAGGATATGGAGTTCTGTGGGTGTTCGTATGCATACGTAAGGGCGGTTGTGTGGGACATAAGAGAGATTCTGGGTGTTAGTAGGGTGGGGGTCATTTTTTGGTGTTTGTGAAGGGTTTATTTTTCTAGGGCTTATACAAAGTGGGTGTTCGTAGGGGTTAGTGAACATAACCGTCGAGCTGTGGGTGTTAGTAAAGGTGACTTATATGAGATTCCACAAAGTTGGGTGTTTGGGGTGTTAGTATAAATTACGAATACCCCTTTGATGATGTTACCTCTGATGAAATAATGATAACGAAGGGAATCTTTGTCTTTCTTCTTATAAAAGTGCCCACTGCTTAAGAGATAATTGGCCTTATCTGAAGAGGAGATAGAAGCAAGATGAATGATAAAGATTTTTTTCCCAGGACAAAAACAAGTAAAGAATGTGAATTTTAATAAATTCATGAAATTGTTGACAATCAAAACGCTGATAAAAGAATGCTTTTATCATCGTTTGATAGGTGTTTTTCGAAGTTGCTAGCATCTCTCTTACCATGCATTTGACGATGAGATAAGATATATGTGACTAAAAAGTAAAGAAAAAAAGAGTTTCTATATGAATTTTAGGATGGGTGGGTGAGACCAACTACCATAAACGGTTCAGGATGGGTGGGTGAGTATAGCTACCACAATACAGTAGTTCGATATCTTGAGGGTGAGTTTATAAAAGAGATTAAATAGAATTAAAGCAGTCATACGACATGTTTCGACTGTTGCTAAGATAGTCAATATTGAGGGTGAGGGTGAGACAAGCTACCACAATACAATTAAAAGTATTTCACTTTTGAATATAATAGTTGATAAGAGATTGAAAGCACCACACGGTCGCGATTTCGGCCCTGCTTACGGGCCAATCATCAGGTGTGTTAACAATCTATTATTACATAATGATCAAAACCATCCAAGTTAATGAATAAGTTAAGAAATTGTCGTAATAATTCTTGGTTCCATTACAAATGAATATAATGTAGTTGATAAGAGACTGAAGCTACACACGATCGCGTTATCGTCCTTGCTGAGGGGACTCATCAGGCATGTTTAGAATTTATTATTAGATAATATTATATAGTTTAAAAGCCTTCAATCAATGAAGAAGTCATAAAATATATGATGTGCTTTAATGAAGAATAAATGTAGAATTTAACTTCGCCGACACATTTCAAGCTTTTTATTGAAATATAAACACTCATCATCAGGGCTGCTTAGCATAACAATTTCAAGCATAAATAACAAAAAAGAAAAATACTTAATAAATGAACACCAGTAAACAAAATACTAAATAAACTAAGAACAATAATAAGGAAAAAGGAGAAGAGACAAAATCTAGATTTCAAAAGTGGAGAAAAGAAAGGAATATAACCAATCGCAAATGAATGTTCACTCACTGAAATTTAATTCATAATTTAATAATGATCGAGTATTATTAGATGTAAAATGACGTGCTAATCGTATAAATTCTAAATACTTTATCTAATTTAATATTTGAACCATCATATGTCCATGCTTCAACAACTTTTTTGACTTTCTTATCATGAATTCTTTTTCGATCTAATATTCCATCAATCTTCAAATAAAATTGTTGCTTCAATTTGGTTGATGTTGAACATTTTTTTGTAGATATAGTTTTCTCCATCGATTTGGACTTGAGAGATGCAGCTGGACGCGATAAAAACTAGTAGGTATATTAATGGCCACCGCTGTTGGTGAATTAGTTCAGTGTTTGATGTTGAATATTTTTCGTACATAATTTTACCCATGGATTTCGGAGTATAAACCCAGGTCAACCAAAATAGTATCGATTACTGTCTAAATATTGTTGGACAATAACCATGTAAATAATATGACAATGATATTAATTTCTTCATTTAAAAGCTTTATTTGTAAATCTAATGCCATTAGTTGAAAATAATTGAATAATCTTCGATATAAAATAACGTGCTGGTTGTTTGTCATTTGTATAAATTTTAAATATTTTATATAATATAATATTTGAATCATTATTACATTTACCAGGTTCATTGTGATAACAATACAATATAATAAGGCAATGCATAAAACACTCGATATTTGAGCATAATTAAAGAATCATTAAATTGATCCACTATTTCTCAACATCATATTGGATTTATTTTGAAATAAAATTGTTGCTTTCATTTATTTGAAATCAATTAATGCACATTGCACTATTATATTATCAATTTTTCAGGTACTTGATAACTAGAAGAAAGACTTGCACCTCTAACCTCTTCTAATGTGCACGATACCTGGTGAACTTGTTCATTAGCTCAAATGTAACATATTGCTGCAGGTAACCATCTGAACAATATGAGAATAATATATAATTATATTGATAAGAAATCCACATAAATCCAAGGCTTTGTTTTCGTTGCCATGACTACTGTCTAGAAATATTAAGGTAATCTTATTTTTCATTGCCAGAAGCGTCCAGGTGGATAGGAAATCCGTAGAAATCGCTAGGTTTTCTATTCTTCCAGTTTTCTAAGTTTTGCACTGACCAAAAAAAGACCACCAATGATCTAAGAAACTGTACACACATAATATTCTATCATCAAGTTATAATAAATTCACATTAGAACATCAAGAACACCAGTAAACTCAGACATTGTTAACACCTTCAAGATTCATGGTTTTCGAGCTCTGCTCACTCCTTTCTGTGCGCTCGAGACGGCCTTCGGCCTCCATCGCTACTGCATAATCGAACAGAAAACCTAGCGATTTCTACGGATTTCCTATCCACCTGGACGCTTCTGGCAATGAAAAATAAGATTACCTTAATATTTCTAGACAGTAGTTATGGCAACGAAAACAAAGCCTTGGATTTATGTGGATTTCTTATCAATACATGTTTTTATCAATGAAAAAATAAGATTATTTCAATATTTTTGTAAACGGTTGCAATGATAATGAAGAAAAGTATATTGACTTTCTATGGATTTCTTATCAATACAGGCGCTTGACTGACTGGGCGTTGGGATACCGGTCAGAAAAGTATTAGTAAAAGTAATATTAACTAACTAAAATGGCGAAAAACGACGATAAACCGTGAATGGAAATGACAGATTTTTTGTTTATTCTCGGTATTTCTAATCACTACAAGTGCGTGACACACGCGGAAACAATAAATGCTCGCAGAATAGGGGTGGCACGTTTTCTTTACTGATGTACTTTGCTGAGTAAAGCAACGCTTTCAAATATCACCGCATGAGTGACGAACAACCGAAATTGTATTGTTTTATCACCTTCCGGACACAATGCGACTAAAGCGTTACTATATTATGCGTTACTCCGTTACTCGTTATTAGTAATGCATAATACAGTAACGCTTTTTATGTATGTTACTCGTTACCAGTAACAGAGTACCGCATGTGTTACTCGTTACTAGTAACGCATAATATAGTAACGCTTTAGTCGCATTGTGTTGTGAAAATTTTTATTTTTATTCTATTCAACTTAGCTACACGTAACGTTCAATTTCGTTTCTATCATAATATTTACGGGCAAGAAGGTGGAGTGTCAATGGGTAGTCCATTAGCACCTATTTTAGCGAATCTGTTCATGGAGAACTTAGAAAACAAACATATTTTAACATCAGAAAATGAAAAAGAGTAAAAATGTGGATAAGATATGTTGATGATATTCTAGTTCTAATTAACGGTACCACTTGTGATGCCTCTGAATTATTAGACAACTTCAACAAAATTCATCCGATCATAAAATTCACACTGGAAATAGAACAAGATAATAAATTAGCCTTTTCAGATGTTTTGATTGAGAAACATTCTGATCATCTTGAAACAACAGTATATAGGAAAAAAACATGCACTAATCTATACATGAAATGGGATTCCGGGT